TAGTAAGAGCATGGAGGACATGGAAAATAATGTCGATGATCCTTCTTTGAATCCGGTAACGAGGGTGCGTTTGGTACAGTTTCAGCGAAATACTGAAGAGCCAATGGTATGGTATAGCGAAGTCGGCCGCGTCGTGCTTCCATCGCCGCCGTCGGTGTGTCGTTGCTCGGCTAACTGATCATGTTCTACTTTAGGGCATCACGTTGAAGATCAACGAGGAGGGCAAGTGCATAGTGGCCAGGATCATGCACGGCGGTATGATTCACCGGCAAGGTAAATTGCGTGACGTGCAAGTGACCCGTCGACGTCAGCTGTGCTGTATTCATCGTGTTGTTCAGCGACGCTGCATGTCGGTGACGAAATCCGCGAACTCAATGGCATCAGCGTGGCGAATCAATCAGTCGAAAGCTTGCAACGTTTGTTGCGCGACATCCGTGGTTCCGTAACGTTCAAAATCGTACCTAGCTACAGAAGCGCACCGCCAGCCTGCGAAGTAATTGACATGCTGCACGCCATTACTGTTCATTTACAGCAGATGATCCCTCAGCCTCGTTCACGATTTATCTTGACTCAATTTACTTGTTTAATTTCGCTACGAGTTGCTGTCATGTTCTTATTGCTATTTCATTTCAGTCACGCTCATAAGATGTCACACTGGTTCAGACGACGGTGCCGGCTTCAAAGATTTTTAACTTTGAAAAGTTAAAATATCATTCGAAATAATTTAGTTTCTACGGCCTAGTTTCCTTATGTATTTTTTTCCGCCATTTTTCATTCTTCAATTTTTACACCTTTCATTTTCTTACATTTTTCTTGTTTATTTTATATTTTTTCGTTACGACGCCTTTATGATACACCAACTTATCTTTTTTATCTGTAATTATGGTATCTCCCTATGCATTATTAATTTGTGCTAAAGAATCAGTGCAGTTACGCGTTCCGAAATGATAGAATATTTTTTCACATCAGGCCTTTTGTTTCATTACCTAGTTTGTAAAGCAACGATTATTCGTTCATGTGCTTTTCTGACTTACCGTTGGCTGATTGCCGATATTGAACAAAAAATCACCGTGCTTCTTATGCATCCTCCGAAGAGATGCATAATCACTTTTAGATGTAGTAATTATTTACCGATGGTGCCCGGTATGAACATCCGCGCTTGGTTGCGCCGCATCTATACTTAAGTTTTCTTTGACCAGCAATCTCCCATGTGGCTGGAATTTTTGGCAGTCCCCTAAACTGGCCAGTCCACCAGCGTGAACAGTTAACACATACATTTACCGCATTGAAGATCAGCATGATGTTACCGTACTTCTAGTGTATATTGCCGCTTCTTTCGCTTTTTTGCCTGACTAAAGTCTGTAAAAATTCTGCTCAAAACATGTATGTTTGACTGTTTGTTATAGCTTATTAAAATCTGATGATTTAGATCTATGTTCGTGCACAGTTCGATTATGACCCCAGTCACGATGACTTGATACCCTGCCCGCAGGCAGGTGTCGCCTTTATGACCGGCGACATTCTTCAGGTAATTGTGCGACGGTTGTCGTTTTTGTCATGTTGATCGGTGCATGTTTTCAGGTGATATCCAAGGACGATCACAACTGGTGGCAAGCGCGGTACATCGCTCCTTTCCCGGTACTCGGTGGCTGTCATTCGAGCGCGGGTCACCACACGCCGGGTGCCTCTGTCGCCGGTATCATTCCATCGCCCGAACTTCAGGAATGGCGGACCGCCTGTTTGGCGATGGAGCACGTCAAAAACAGCTGTAAGTCTCCTGTTAGCCAGTCGATCCGTGCTTCATTTGTATGCC